TTCAGCAGGTGCTGATCTCCTGCCACGGAGCGTTTCTCTCCTCCTCTGATCAAGCGGATCCCACTTGGCCTTGTACCTCTCCACCCCCTCCTACCTTCTGGCCGGGAGAGATCAGGGCCCTGGGAGCTGGGATCTCAGAAACCGACACACAAGGAACTGGCCAGTCCCTTCAGCAAAGAACTAACGGACAGCAATCTTGGCATCGGAAACCACAACAGGCAAACTGCAGTGGGAGGAACATTTTCACCTTCCAGGACATTCAGTCGCTGCTGACTTAGGAGTAGCCATCGTCTGGCTTCCGGTCGAGCTAAGATGGCGAATTAAAGCATCCCGTGAATGTGCGGGGTGGGCGACGGCTCCTTCTGACAGTTTGGGCGGTTTCCAGCCCAACGCAGCATTCCCCAGTGAGGGGGGAAGACAAGCAGGCAGCGGTGCCCAAGTAGAAGTTGAGATTGGCATGATCAAGCCTCGGAAGGGGCTTGTATCACGCTCTGATCTCCTTCCACGAAGCGGGCGAATGCATAGCAGCACTACAGGAGCCGATCGAGCTGGAAAACCAGCATAAATCCGCCGTCAGCCGATCTCTTGGAGAAGGGGAACAGTGAGTGTTTAAAAAGAAGCAATGTGAAACCCAGTATAAACTTGCTAGATAACAAAGACCGTACGCTTACCGAGATCTAGACGTAACGAGAGTGGACTTAGTGGATGAGCGGATGACAAGTTGTAAATCGCGGTCATTTGACTTTGGAGAAAAAAAGACTTGATTTAAGCCAGTTAAAGTAGAAAAAGTAACTTTGTTGAACATTCCTGTGGCGAGTAGAAGATAAGGCTATTGTTTGAATCGAAACTGACGAAAGCTATCGCGAGAAAAGAGAGGCTGGTGTTACTGTGAAAGGTCTCCGACAGGAAACGTGACTCTGTGAAGAAACGCCTAGAAAGGATTCGGGAGACCGGAAGCAGATCGGACGAAGAAAAGCGAGGTACCGGAAGTTTGAAGAAGCGCACAGACGGGATCCGAAGCAACAGGAAGTGACCTACTCTATCCAAAAAACCATAGAGAAGTTGCGCTCGACATTTTGAGGAGGACCCGAATTTAAATTTGCTTTTTGGAACGCTAAAACAAACAGAAAGAAGGCGAAAATACGGTGATTTGCTCAAGCACATATAAGGAACTGGACATTATAGTAAGATTGAGATTTTGAGTTAACATCATTAAACTTCAAAACGGAGACAAGAAGAGCAAGAGTAGCCTCAACTTCAAGACCAAGAGCAGCCTCAACATCAAGTCCAACGATGGCAACTAAGGAGAGAGAGAAGAAGTAATAGCAGACAGCAATAGAAGCGATGGAGAAGAGGATGACAGAGGCGATCCAGGCATTGGGAAAGCAATTAGAAAAGCAAATGGAGATGCAGACGCAGAAACACTTAGAGCAACTGGAAGAGGTGCAAGAGAAGAATGTGGCTGCAATAAAAGAACTGGTGACAACAGAAGTAGCTTCGGTTAAACATGAAATGGAAGAAGTGAAGAAGGAAGTTCAAGCTATGGCAACCAGGTCGACAGTGATGGAGGAAAAAATACAACATACGGATGAGAAATGTGATTCAATAACACAACAAATCAGAAGATCAGAAGCAATGATGGAATATAGATGGATGCAAAACCACTTAAGATTCAGAGGAATAGAAGAGAAGTTGGATGAAAATATCAGAGAGGTAATGCGGAAGGCACTGACTGAATATCTGGAAGAAGACGATGGAGATATGGATTATGAATTTGATCTGATATACAGAGTAAACTCAAGAATAGCAGAAAAGAGAAATTTACCTAGAGATGTGATTGTGCAATTATTGACCAGAAGAACAACAGAGGATATTTTCAAGAAACAATTTACACACCCATTTGAAGTAGAGGGAAAGAAAATAATGATTATGAGAGAACTTCCCAGAACAATCCTTGAAGACAGAAGGAAATACAAACCTCTAGCGGACAAGCTGAAGAAAATGAACATCAGGTTTCGTTGGGAAATACCACAAGGATTGTCATTTAATTATAAAGGTGGAAGGCATGTTATCAAATCGGTGGAAGACTTCTACAAATTTAAGGCGGACAATATAGAGGATTTTGGAGACTTATAATACAAGCACAATGGAGTACAAATTTTTATCGTGGAATGTAAATGGACTAAATTCAGCCAACAAGAGAAACAGAGTTAAACATTGGATTCAAAAGGAAAAATGCAGTTTGATTTGTTTGCAAGAAACTCATATTAAGAAACAGGACGCAAAATTTTTAATAAATAAAGCAATTGGGGAAGAATTTTACTCTCTGGCCACAAATAAGAAGAAAGGAGTAGTGATATATGCCAAGAAAGAATTGCAACCAAAAGAAATTTTTGCAGACTCTGAAGGTAGATATTTGGGAGTGGAGGTTGTAATACATCAAAAGAAAACTTTGATTGTGAATATATATGCGCCCAATGGTGCAAAGGAAATTTTTTTAAAGGACTTGACAGAACAACTACAACAGTTGAGTTATGAACAGACAATAATGGCTGGAGACTTTAACGGTACAGTAAATAACAAGATGGACAGACAATCTGTAAGGGGAGATGAAAAGATTGGGAAATTGCCAAATACTTTTTTTAAAGTAGTAGATCAAGAAAAAATGGAAGATGTGTGGAGAAAATGGAACCCGAGTACAAAAGATTTTACTTTTTATTCCAATAGACATAGTTCTTTTTCCAGGATTGATATGATATGGATGGCGGAAGAATTGGCATTGAAAACACAGAAAATTAAGATTTTGTCAAAATGCAATTCGGACCATAATCCGCTTTTATGGAGTACAAAAGGAGTAGCCATCGTCTTATAAATTGAATTAAACAAACAAACAAAGGAATTCTAAAGGGAGATCAGATCTCTCTCAGGGCTCACGGGACTAAAATAGTCCCCTGTAGAACGGGGGGGGGTGTCGTCAGGAGAGCCCCCATGGCACGGTGCAGCCCAGCGACACACGTTTTATCTCCTTGAGTGGTAAAGGCACCCACACCTCGGCCACTGCTGAGTCCTGAGCTGCACCATCTTTTCCCAGAATCCCCTGCAGGCTCCAAGGGCAGGGTGGCACCTACCGGTTGTCCATGAAACCCACGCAGTCCCACTTCTCCACCGTCCCCCTAAGAGGAAAGAAAGGCTCTCAGTGTCCGCTGAGGGGGGGGGAATTCAGCTCAGAGAAGGGCCCCTCCCGCCACCACGATAGCCGCACCATTTAATTGGGCCGGAGACCCTGATGAGGCACCTCCCTTCTCAGCCCAACGACCTCCGTTCTCCTCGTTCTCGAGCTCCTCATTCTCAAGATGGTGGAAATAAATAGGAAGTATCACGAACAGGGCCAGGTGAGGCTTGGCTCAGTTCCCACAGGCCAGGCCAGGCCGGGGGGGGGGGCGGGGGGGTCCTCAGGCACTGTTCCCTCTAAGCTGAGTTAGTGTGAACGAGCTCACCGTTTTTTAGCCTCTGGCTCACACGTTTTTGTCTTAGCTCAGGAAAGATAGCTCCAGAGCAAACTGATTTATGCAGCAGCCCAATCGCTCACTCAAAGCTTTCATGCCCGTAGCTCACAAAGTAGAATTTTTGCTCACAAGACTGCACACCTTGGAGGGAGCCTTGGTCTCAGGTCCCTCTGTGCTCCCATCTGCGAACGGGATGAGCCGAATGAATCACCAAAGCCAGCTAATAAAGTCTCGGTGACACTGGGGTTGGCTGCCCAATTTTGACGCACAAAATATTTATTTTAATGCATTCACCCAACGGGGACCAAAGCGGCGCTCGACGTTTCCCCCTCCTCCGTTTTATTTTGTGTTTTTTTGGGGGGGGAGAATATTTGTGTGTGTGCGTGTGTGTGCGAGTGTGTCTGGGAGTCACGGCTGACTCCTGGCGACATTCAGAGGGGTGGGCTTCCTGTTGCCTGCGTCTGCGTCCCGGCCTCGGAATTCCTTGGAGGTCTCCCACCCAAACACTTGCCAGGCTCGGCCCTGCTTAGCTTCCGAGATGTGACGAGATGGGGCTTGCCTGGCCTACCCAGTTCAGGCCCCCCCCCTCCGTTTTAGATCTGCGTCCAGTAGCACCTGATTAACACCTCCCCCGAAATCTTGCTCATCTCCAAGGTGCTCGTGGACTCAGATGCGGGTGTTCTATTGAAGACCAACTCAGGCACCCGCTGAAACCTTCCCCACTCTACGCTCACAACAACCCTGTGAGGTAGGCTAGGCTGAGAGTGTATGGCTGGCCCACGCCTGAGTGGCCAGGGGAGGATGTGAACCCGGGTCACACACCTCCTAATCCAACCCTCTAACCAGGATGCCAGGCGGGCAAAGTCCCCACAGCTGCAATATGAGGGGTGAATACTGCTGTTAAAAATATTAATATGACAATACTTTATCGACTGTTCCTGTTGTTAGAGGAAGCCAGAGATCCCCGCTCAGTGGCTCCTTGGCCTGCCACGTGGGGCTCTTCTGGCCATGTTCCCCCCCCGTGGCCCCCAATCGACATTCCAGGGAAGGGAACAGGGCTTGCCTGGGGTTCCCACAGTGAAAGATCCGCCTCTGGAGGCGCCAGAGAACACGGAAGCCCCAAAACTCAAGCCAGGGAGGGAGGGGAAGGTGCCACAACAGGTGAGGTGCCAGAAGATTGGAGGCGGGCAAATGTTGCCCCCATCTTCAAGAAGCGGGAAAAGGTGGATCCAGGTATCTACCAACCCCTCACTTTGACGCCTATACCTGGGGAAGTTTTAGAACGAATCATCAGTCAGTCAGTCCTTGAACAATTGGAAAGGATGGCTGTGATTCTTAAGAGCCAGCAGGGGTTTCTCAAGAACAAGTCATGTCAGACTAACCTTATCTCTTTTTTAAAAAGTTACAACCTTGCTGGAACTATAGCTGCTATACACATAGCTTATCTTGATTTCAGTAAGGCTTTTGATAAAGTTCCACATCATATTCTTGTTGACAACTTCGAAAAATGTGGTTTAGTTCCTATGATTGTTAGGTGGATCTGTAACACCCCAAAGGGTGCTTGTGAATGGTCCCTCATCCTCTAGGAGAGGAGTGATAAGTGGAGTGCCACAAAGATCTGTCCTGGGTCCTGTTTTGTTCAACATCTTAATAAACTATTTAGATGAAAGAAGAGAGAGAATGCTTATTAAATTTACAAATGATACTAAATTGGGAAGGGTAGCAAATATGGTAGAAGACAGAGTCAGGATACAGGATGATCTTGACAGGCTGGCTAAAACATATAAAATGAACTTTAACAGGGATCGATATAAAGTCCTGCATTTAGGTAGGAAAAATCAAATGCATAATTATAGGATGGGGGACATGTGTCTTGGCACTAATGTGTGCGAAGAGGATTTGGGGTCTTAGAGGACCGAAGATGACTCTGCAGTGTAATGCAGGCGCTAAAAATGCAAATGTGATTTTGGGCTGTATCAATGAAAGTATAGTGTCCAGATCACATGACATGATGGTATCGCTTAACTCTGCTCTGGTTAGACCTCACTGAGAGGACTGTGTTTAGTTTTGGACTCCACATTTTAAGAAGGATACAGACAAGCTGGAAGGTGTCTAGAAGAGGACAACAAAGATAGTGAGGGGGTCTGGAGACCAAGTCCTATGAGGAAAGGCTGAGGGAGCTGGAGTATGTTTAGCCTGGAGAGGAGACGATTGAGAGGTGATATGATGACCATCTTCGAGTACTTGAAGAGCTGTCCTACAGAGGATGGTGCGGAGTTGTTTTCCGTTGCCCCAGAAGGTCAGACCAGAACCAACGGGTTGAAATTAAATCAGAAGAGTTTTTGGTTAAACATACGGAAGAACTTCCTGACAGAGC